AAGTCTCACCTATGTCACGGTAAAGCACCAGTGTGCTAGACAGTACTATCAAGAGTACTTGTAATATTCATGTTGATTATTGGTGTGTACAGGCACCGGGAACCAGTGATAAATTTACTGTGTTGTGTATATCTTTCTATAGATTTTGATATGAACATATAGTGGTAAATTATATATAAGATTATGCCAGTATGTGGAGGTTAGGCTATGTGCCCAGAAACTATTTATTTTCCATGTATTGATGATTGATTTATATACCATATATATGTCTATGTTCATTCAGTGAATAATCATTTGTGAGTACAGTGAATTATTGCGTTATCGCCAACGAGAGAAAGTACTGAAAACTCCAGTGTTAATATTTCATAATATATTGTTGGATAAATAACAGTGTAAGACCATTACAGTGAATCATTGTAGAATTGATTGTAGAAAAGACTGTTTGAGCCTGAGTACAGTGTAACTGAGTAATACGGTTTATTTGTGCAAATATCGAGTGTGCGAGTTTCTAGTAATATTGGAGAATTTAACGAAACAGCGAATCTAGAAAACAAGCAAAGTTCGCGCGGAGAGGCCACGCGATCAGCTGGTTTTTGACACTTGATGAGGGGGGGGAGATGTTGCCCCCTGGTGATCGCATAATATCCGTGGGAATTACCGGCCGAGTCAGGATCAGTTGATTTATAGATTATTGTGTGGCTTTGTGACATCTTTCATACATTTTAAGTAAAATACAAAACTATCTTAGTGTTTTTATCATCCCCTCCATTGATCTTGTGGCTATATGATACTGGTAAACATAGAGTGATAACAATAAGTACCTGCCTGATTCCTGATCTTTGAGTGTGACCTTGCCAAGGCTACCACTGAATACACCAGTCCACTGAGGGTGTTACTGGCCACCTTAAACACCAGTTGGCGACCTTGTGATCAACCGTAGAGCCCTATTGTTGGGGAGGGCACACGACAGTCGAGGTGAACGAGTCGTGTTCTCACTCTTTCTTAATAAGAGGCCGTTAAGATTGACTGGGAGACTCTCCTGGCGTGCAGTGGCGCCGTGAGGATCGAGGGAAGACCCGCAGGGCTACGGTGAGTTACCTTGAGCGTAACTATTGCTTACCCCAGAGTAAGGGTAGAGAATAATAGAGAGGTGAAACCCCAACACATTACAATTAGAATAAAAACACGTATATTCCATAAATAATAGAAATTGTAAAGAACAGCTACAAAAACATCAAGGGACACGGAATACTAGGGAAGATAAGGAACAGGTTCTGAGACATCAGGGTTCTGGGAGCATAGGTGAAGACAGTATAGGTGGTTGAACCTAGACGGTTGGTGTAAGGGGCTCAAGGGAGTTCGGCCGAGTCAAAACAGAAGCGGAGGAGAGCCGAAGATAAATGGCAGCATCAGAGGCAAGAACAAGGGTGACGAGAACCTCCATAGCGAGGTCAACCGGCTGAGATGGAAGGAGAGATAGGGACATAGACGGAGGAGGTAGTTAGAGGGAAGACTTAGGCCGACTCGTAGGGGAGGAAGGAGAGTAAGCAGGTCTACATTTCCGAGTGAAAAGTGGTAGTTTCAGGTACAGTGTGATAGATTGCATTATCTATCGATAACGGGGGAATGATAATGAGAACGTGCAAACCGAGGATAGCGGGAGGAGGATGGATATCGGTCCGGATGTTTGACCGCCAGGGAGGGCTAAAAACCACAGGGAAGGACCGAGGAGAAAGACTGGAACTAGAGAAGGGCTCACAGTAGACATAGAAGAGCAAAGAGGTGAAGGAGAGATGTAAATATGTCAGAGAAAGACTGGGAAGGGTGGAAACGCTGGCCGTGGATGCCCCAGACCGCAGAGGGGCGGGGGGAGACGGGCAACTGGTGGTGTCGTAGTTTTAGGTTAAGAAACAGTTGTGGGACTGAGGAAGGGGAAAAAGGGTGGGACAGTGGAGAGCGACACAATACACAAGCATACGTCATGTCAGGAGAAGACGTTGGACAGAAGGAAGTGACGTGTATATGGAGACATCAGTATGGGGAATAAAAGCCGGTGGGTCTAGGCCCGTCATAGCTGGAACTATGGATCCTGCTCTTCCATCATAGTCTGACTTCTTCAAACTTGGGTGCGAGTGGTCCGGTGGCCCAAAAGGGAGCTTTGATGGTTTCTTGCCCACGTACAGCGCCAGTAGAGTGAGGCCGAGGCAGCCCCAGGGAATCATAACGGAGTCCCCTCACCACGGGTCCAACCATTTCGGTAGGACGGTAGAGTAACGGTCTCGCTTCATGCAAGTCGGCGTTCAATCGCCGACCGTCCAAGTGGTTGGCCACCATTCCTTTCCACGCGTCCCATGCCAAAGTCTTATCTTGACCCCTTCCCAGTGTTATGTAGTTGTAATGGCTTGGTGTTTTTCCCTAATAATTCCCACCCTTCCCCTCACCACGAAGGTAAATTCCTTAAGGGAGTGGTAAACACTGCTGCAGGTGGCTCCTGCTCTCTGGGAGACTGGCAAACACGCCTAATATTGATGAACCGGCCCATCACCAACAGCAAAAAAACTTAAGATTATTACTTGTTGGAATTTCATTATAAGAGACGATGGTGTTGGCGGAGAGGGTGGCCCCGAGCACCTGCCTGGGTGACAGCTGCTGCTCCCGCCTTCCTCACACACTTGTTAATCCTGACATCCTTTAATGAGGTTGTCAAGTCACCTGATTAAGTATCCATGTATTTGTCACCTCCGTAGATGAGATCAAATGTGTTGGTATTTACGGAATAAATATATATATATCAACATCTGTAAGAGAATGTTTACTAGAGGTTTGGGGCCCGGCGGTTGCCTCATGCAGGTTTCTATGGTTAATCGTAATTGAATGGCAAGTGCCATAGAGTGATTGGGGTTGACCCCCCATGCTCTTAAGTACGATTGGCTCCTATTGCGACAACAAACAACTTCAATGAAGTCCAAAATGTGGATATGATTATCCAGTTGAAGGACGAGTGTTAGAGCTGAAGCTGCTGTCGAGTGCAAGTTCTCGCTCCACGTGCCAGTCCAACTTCCTCTTTGTGTCGCGTCAGGTTAAAATACGCTTGATTTAGCATTTGCGAAATTCAAGCATAAAGGTCAACCATTATTTTACCTTTAATTACTTGTTTGTACATATTCGATACCCAATCAAACCTCTCAATTTAGGTGATTAATATACATATTAGTGAGGCGCTGCTCGGCCTTGTAACTCTTACCTAGTTAGTTGTGTTACAGGTAGTCCAGATACCGTCGAGTGCTTCAGGGGGTCGAGGGTCGTCTTGGCTACGCGGGTATTCTCGGACACTGTTCCCAGAGAGGTCGGTGACCCCCCCCCCTCTAACACGTGGTGATTGCCGGAAGGTCCGGGTCTTCTGAAGTGGTTGTGTTGTTGTGCCTTGTGATTATGTCTCTACTGACACCCCCCCCCCCGTGGTGGGGGAAGCTACTGACCTCCCCCATGGTGGGGGAAACAAGGTTGCAACTCTACGGAGCGAGCTTGCCGTATTTCACTATGTTGGCTAAATGAACGCCAATAGTCGATCGTACGGTCGATTTTGTTTGTATAGTACACTTTTACTTGGCTATGTGCACAACAACAGGGCTACAACTGTATCTGTGTACATAAAGTTTCTGGTAAGTCCAGCATGGTTAATTCAAAGCTAAAGACGATTAGCTTTACAAGGTTTTCTGCTCTATCCAAAAGATGGATATGATTTGCATTGCAAGACACCAAAAAGAGTTCCATTATCAAGATGCAAATGTCCTTGAGCATCGTATAATAGGCTATGTTTGTTGTGTTTCGCAGCAGCTGTAGTCAGCAAGGTAAGACGAGAAAAATCGTCACAATGTCATGGATTTGATGGCATACTTGCTTGTTCTCAACGGTTTAAACTAATAGGGGGTCAATAGTTCAGTTTCTCTGTTCACTGAGAGTTTCGTTAGAGAGGCTTACTGCTCCATGATGCCTCTAGTTCCTCCTCCGTCAGCTGGCGCGAGGCAATGCTACCCAATCCAGGCTAATCACACCTGGCGGTGTGCTGCTCATGAAGAATGTATTTGCGCGGCAGATTCAAGATGTGACTGGCGAGGCCATTCATTTGGATGTTATTATTAGCTCAGAGAAACGGATCCTATTAATTGGCACCAGCCCCTGAGACATGGGTTAGCACGACATACACAACCCCCCCCCCTCTCTCTCTCTCTCTCTCTCTCTCTCTCTCTCTCTCTCTAACCCTTGTAATATACAATAACTCACTGTTCAAGAGAGCAGAGAGAACAAAGAGAGAGACAGTCAGGCAGACAAAGGGGATTAGGCAATGAAAAAACTATTTGGAGATGAAGAGTAGCGTTGAAGGATAGACTGGGAGGGTGGAGGTGGTGGGAGAGGTAGGAGAGAGGTGGGAGAGTAGGTGGGTGGAGGAGGTGGGGGGGCTAAGGTGAAGTAGAAAAAGGAAGGGGAGCATCATTGTAATATTTCATGCTCAGCCAGGTGTAAATGTCAGACGCCACCACACACCTCAGCGTCACAACAAATGTCATTTAGTACATGTAGCCATCTCAAATATAATAATATTGTTAATAACATTAATATTACTAATCTTAGAGTAATCACACTAACGTGACTGCGTCAATGAGAAAATCTGCAGGAGCCACGATGAGGATTCGAACCCACGCGGTAGGTGTTCCCACGCACACGCTCTAGTCCTGGATGACGGAGCCAGAGTGCAGGGAAGGATTGTGTGAAAATCCTGGACCCTCGTGTGTTCAGTAGAACTCCAGGTTGCAATCCTTGTACCATGTTGCGGTCTAGTTGACTAGAGCGTGTGCCTGGGAACACCCACCGCTTGGGTTCGAACCCTCATCACGGCTCCTACGGATTTTCTCAATAGAAATAATAATATAATATAAATACAAATACAAATATATAGCTTCTGTGGTTTATATTAACTACTGTGTTTATTCCAGGTGGTGCTGATGCCGCGTCTGTCAACAAGAAAACTCTGTCCAGTTTCTCACTGATACCTAACTCCTCAGAGGTACCCTGCTCTTCACTGGTGCCCTGCTCAGAAGTGCCAACTTCTCATACGTGCCAAGACTCATCTCGCTGACAGGTGTTACACCTGTCAGGAAACATAAATAAACACATTTTATAAATTTATAACTGCACGCGAGTCATAAATTTAAGCCAGGAAATGTACATGTTGACTGTGACATTCTCCACGTGACCTCTCAGTGGAGCACGGCAAGGAAGGTAAAAGCTATTCTAACAGACATTGACAAGGTATGGAGTTTGCACAATTACCAATTAATACATTTTCTTGACAAGTTAAACATCTGGAACATTGTCCACGGCCTTCCTCCAGGACACCACGGCTTTTCACATTAAAATTAAACGCTTTCAGCTTGTAAATATTTTCCTGAATTATTCCGGTGTAGCGAATATTTCTCGCCAGTGTTGTGGTGTGACGCACATCAGGAGCAGAGTAGTCCGTTCTTGCGCATACAGACAGACACAAGAGGTTACCATTATGTTTAATATCAAACAAAACCTGAATCTAATACAATACTTTCACAAAACTAAGAAGGCAGTGAATTTTCGATAATATAACCAATCAAATATTATTTTCAAACTATGTCATGATATCAAGTACAAAGTATGACAATTGTATTTTGATAGTATAATAACTATGAAGAGTGAAGACTCAAAACTTTCACTCATCAGATCCATTAGTTACGACACTTATTGCAGTGGAAATTAAGTATTGAATATTATTTGAAAAGACTAATTATACTTTAAAGTATACTTAAAACAGAACTTTAAAGTGGCCATATTAGCAGGGAGGACTGTAGTGGTATTGTGTAGGTCTACTATGGCGGGCACCACCTTCCACACAACTACCACAACTACTACCACCATTTACTCCCCCACCAACGGAGACCGCTATCTTCCTCTAGTTCTACCGGACAAGACCCCTTTTCAGAGTGTGGTCGGTTCGCTGGTGAACACAAGTGCCCAGGGCTCCGCCAGCCTCATTCACACCCTGTGGCAGAGTCCTGAAACCCACACCCTGTGGCACACCCTCGCTGGCTTCATTGAGACCTCGAACGCCAGAGACAACTTGGCCATGGTAGAGAATGTGACCAACGACAGCTTGTACGTGAACGACACCGGAGAGTACGTGCCGTTCAACGACACCGGAGAGTACGTGCCGTTCAACGACACTGGGAAGTACGTGCCGTTCAACGACACCGGAGAGCACGTGCCGTTCAACAACACCGGGGAGTACGTGCCGTACAGCCAGCGGCCGGAGACGTACATCGTGCCGCTGGTGTTCGCCGTCATCTTCATCGTGGGAGTGATTGGTAAGTTTTTGCCCAGGCCAGGGGGCTCCTCCCTCACGACGTCCCCACTACCTGTCCTCATGCTGCTGCCTTCTCTACCTCCCTCACTACCGTCCACTCCTTGCTGCTCCACCTCTAAACTCATGCTTCACAGGTCATGCCCCTAAGCCATTCACTTCACTTTCTCATTACAGTCTCACACGCTAAACTGTTATATTTCTACCCGCTCCGGCGCAAGGTCTACGCCGCCGTGTGAGAACTGTGATGGAGCTCCCACTCCCGCCTGGCTCTTGTAACTGTGTTGTTAAGTAACATTTTATACACATTTTGTCAGCATTCTTCCTCCCCTAGTTAATGAGAACATAAGAATAAAGATAATTGCAGAAATCGTGTTGTCTCTCCGGGTGGCTCCTATTTCTGTCGCCTAAACTCGCTCATATTTTGTATAAAGGTGCTACCCCTATAATATTGTATTATTATTATATATATATATATATATATATATATATATATATATATATATATATATATATATATATATATATATATATATATATATATATAAGGGTACCACCTCTGGTGCAAGTGTAGGGACCCATAGCCTCGGTGAAGAAAATAAAGAGTTCTCAGAGAAGACCTTGTGGATCCTCACTGAACACTTTGATATTTTCTTCTCCTACCACCCCTATTCTTTTGGTATGTGTGTATATTTATCTAACTTTATTTGAAAATGTCATTACACAAAAAAAGTTACAATATTGATTACATGCAGGGTACAAGGCTGCTTGTCACAAGTTGTATAGCTCCTCAGATGGCGGGCAGGAACCATGGATGCAGTGAGCATTTCCTCTCTGGATTGCCACACTAAGGCGCTGAAAAAGAAAACTGGCAGCTCTAGGGTCTTTAGTTGTTTCGATTAGCTTAGACCCCAACTCCTTCAAAAAGCTAGCAGCACTTTTACCCCAGGCACCAAGTGTCTGAGGCAATGGGGACAAAATTGTAGTGGTGCTCAAGGTCTCTGTATTTACGGGACTTGGCCGCTTCCCGGTGATTAGCAGCTCCTCCTGCTTGTGTAGTGCTGAAGTCAACATAGGTATTGGCTAAAGTTGAAACGCAAGTGTAGTCCCACATCAACTGTCTCCCAGTCTTCCAGGGGTTCACCGTGAGTCCGTCTGGGCGACCGACAGGCTCATCAGAGTTGTGGGACATTAGGTAACGGGGCTCTCTCTCTGCTGGACAACCGGCTGTGGTAAGGCTTCTCTTAATAATGTCATTGACCTCGCCGTGTCTTGCATGCCATCCTCCTGTCCTTTGGCAGAGAAGGCCATGCCGTCCGTACCTGTCGGTCTCTGCCTCGCCGCAAATACACCTGTATTCGGTATGGATTGTGGCAGCGAAGTGGAGAGCCACGGCAATTCGGAGGGCCTGCGGTGTGAGACGGGTGCCGGTTGCTGACATTGGGGTTGCTAATAGGAAATCACCTGCATGGGGAGCATATGGTAACAATCTTTCCTGTAGCCATATATTATTAAATTTGACAGAGAGGGTAAGATGGATGATTCTACCAAGAGTCTTGTGTACTTTTCCGAATATTTTCCTTCATTTGAGAAGGAAGTTGAAAAATTAACTCTCCAAAGTTAATTTGTATCAGTTTAATTTGACCTGACGCTAAGAGATGCTTTTCGTTAAATCTTGTTAACATTGTCAAAGGCAGAATTGGAATGATTACAAAGTTTCTTGGTAACCATTTCAAAGCTGCATGACATGTACACGAGGATGAGGTGAAGAAGCACTTCACTTATAGGCCCACTGTATCTTGCGTCAGTCCTGCTTGCATGATGGCTGGTGCTGTGTTCCGTCGTGTTCTGGACGTTGGTAGAGTGCAACGTGGTGGTAGTTGGGTAGTGATGCCTGGCTGGGTTTGCTTTATGTATAATACCTCGCCCCTGTCCAGTCTTGTGTCGTCGCTGTATCTCGATTATTTTGGGGTACTTTGTGAGGATATTTCTGGTGAAGGTCTAGTTATGTATAGAGGCTATATGTACCTTAGAAGGTTCCTGGTGCTTGTGCAGTGTTAGCCGTCTTCAAAGGGTTGATGTTGTCTTGCCTATATACTGAATTCTTTAGCGTTGACAGCTGAAAACGGAAGAAAGGGTCCTTCCACATAACTACTACTGTACTACTACACCCACCACACAACTACTGTACTACTGCACCCACCACACAACTACTACTGTACTACTACACCCACCACATTACTACTGTACTACTGCACCCACCACACAACTCCTACTGTACTACTACACCCACCACACAACTACTACTGTACTACTACACCCACCACATAACTAATACTCTACAGTGAGCACTAAGACACAAGGTGAAGGCGCGTGGATAACTAACTCAGGTTTCTGGTTTTCAACCACGGCCCTCACCCCCTTACCCCGCCCCTCCCCATGCAACCTCTCTCTGTGTATTGTCTTGGTCAGTAACACGAGCTCCATTATACTGGCGGCTCTGGAGGCGGTGGAGATGGTGGTGACTCTAGTGATGTGACTCTGATGGTGGTGATGGTGCTGGAGATGGTGGTGACTTTGATGGTGGAGATGGTGGTGGCTCTAGTGGTGGTGATGATTGCGTTATAGTTGAACTTTTCCGACTCATTTTTTATCGAATCTTGGCGTGAAGTTGTGGCTGGAGGACCTGCCGCACCTCCAGTGCCAGGGACCTGACAGCCGCCCGCACACAGTACGAGCATTTTCTTACATTTCTCAGATATATTAGTGTTTTCAGCCGCCACCTGTTTCTTACCTTATCGCTTTTTGTTCTCAATATAAGAAGGCTGTTTATATCCACATTGTCTATTCCCCCTCAATATCTTGTATATTGTGATCATGTCAGTTGTGCTCTCTTCTCGAGGGTTGTAAGGTCTAGTGACCTTAACCTATCTTCGTAGATCACCCTCTTACATTTTGGCACTAATATTCTTGGAAACTTTCACTTTTCAGTTAGATTTTGTGCTTCATAGGGTGTGAATTCCAGTGCGGTGCTGCATAACATTGTAGTGGTCTAACGTATGCTGAATATATTGCCTTAAAGTCCTTATTTACCTTTATAAATGTTGTTTTAATGTTCATCAGCTTCCCATATGCTGCTGATTTTTCCCTGTTCAATATTTTCCTCCTTGTTGCAATTATTTCTTCTCGATATATATTTTTTCCCAGTTACTGTTGATTCAAATCAAATTACATCAACTATAGAACTATTTAGAAATAAATGGTTGTACATTCATGATTGAGAAAGTTTACATATAAATTACAGCACAATAATTACAAGTCACAAGAGAAAGAGGTGATAAAATTTGAGTGTGTAGGGCAGAGAGAAGGGACGCCACCAGAGGCAGGGAACAGAGATCATTAAAGGCTCTGCATTAAGACTCGCTCAGCGCTGAACACGTCGCTGTGGAACACAGGCCGGCATCTGTATGCTAATACTCCCGCACTAAGTGAGCCTTGAGCTCACCCTCCAGCAGCGGCAGCCACGCCCCTCCGCCTCGCACCACTCCCACCCTCAACAACAAGGTCATGGATCGCTACGAGGTGCATTACTGCGCCAGGTACTGTAACAGCAGCCGGGTCTTCTCCTTACATCACACCCAATTAGGGACGAATAACAAAGCTAAACCAAGCCTGCAGCCAGCCAGCCAGCCCACAGCCAGCCAGTCACAGCCAGCTCACAGCTAACCCATGTATCTCTACAAATGGTACAAATTCTACAGTCGTTGCACCCGGGAAACATTAAAAACAGTCCATGGACCAGGTAGCAATATCCTAAGAAAATTTAATGACGGACAGTTAATTGAATAGGAAGATTACCTGAACTCTCTCCAGGTTTGTCCAGAAGGCGCCACTACCCGGAGTTCTTGTGCCGAACAACAGACAACATCGCGACTGTGGCTTCTTGATGTAAACAGTTGTGTAGAGCCAGCTGGTCCTGGTGAAGGGGGGTGGGGTGGGAACTCTCAGGAGAAAGCGGCAAGCCATTACGACTGTATAGCCCTGGAAAGGGGTCAGGATAAGGGTATGAGATGAGACGGACGGAAGGAATTGTGCCCAACCACTTGGAGGATCGAGAATTGAGCGCCGACCTGCATGAAGCGATACCGTCGCTCTACCGTCCAGCCCAAGTGGTGTAACACTACTGTGGAGCCTGGTCCTCCTGCAGGACACGCAGCAGCTAGATCGTGTAGCAGATCGTGGAAGGTAATTGGAACACCTGTTGGCGAAAGTTTTTTTTATTTCAATGGCAGACTCGTGAAGGATGAACAGGTCAAGCAGTAGCAGGGAAGAGGAAGATGGGCTTGTAGAGAAGCTGATAGGCAAATGTGTTGAGAGGAGGAGCGTTTGGATGGAGGATTTGATCCTGGGAATAAAAATGGAGAATTTTCAACAAATACAGGCTGAGGGTGAGACAAAAACAAGAGCTTGTGGACTATATTCAGGAAGAAATTAGGAAGAGTAGGGAAGAATGGGAGAGTGAATGTACTCGGCTTGCAAATGAATTAGGCGCAACTAACAACATGACTAGGGAGAGTGGAATAGTGGGGGATTTAGTAGCGAGTGTGGGGGGGGGATCAGGGGAGGGACTACCAGTATGAGAATGTGAGAGGGACAGGAGGCAACAACCGGGGGAGGAGCTATCACCAAATTACTACTAAAGATGGAAAATGTCAGTGAAAGACCAAGTGAAAGACTAAGGAAAACAGAAGGGGCATATACAGAAAGTGACAAGGAAATCTGCGATGCACTGAATGCCAGTTTTCATGGAGTGTCCACAACCGAGCCTGAGCAGCTCCCATTGGTAGAAGAGATGACCCTAGATGAGAGACTATCAGATATAGAAGTGACAGCAGAGGAGGTAATGAAACGGCTAAAAATACTGGATGCAACTAAAGCAGTTGGACCAGACAAAGTATCCAGACACCGTGGATACTAAAAGATGCAGCCCAGGCGATTAGTGCCTCCAGCAAGGATCTTTAATGAGTCACTTATGACGGGAGAGTTGTGCAGTTGCTGGAAGAAGGCAAATGTGGTAGCAATTTTCAAGAAAGGAGATTGGGAAGAGGCACTATACTACAGACCCGTATCACTGACAAGCATCCCCTGCAAAATACTTGAAAGAATAATCAGGCTAAGACTTGTTACACACCTAGAGAACATATGGTTTGTAAACAAACACCAAGATGGATTCAGGGAAGGGAAATCATTCCTAACAAACCTTCTGGAATTCTAAGATATAATAACAAGAATAAGGCAGGACAGGGAAGGATTGGCAGACTGCATATTTCTGGACTGCCAAAAAGCCTTTGATACAGTACCACACAGTAGACAGCTATTCAAACTTGAGAGGCAGACGGGAGTAAGCGGAAAGGTCCAAGCTTGGGTAAGGAACTATCTAACAGCAAGGAGCCAGAGAGTAACTGTAAGGGGCGAGAAGTCGGACTGGCGAAAAGTAACGAGTGGAGTACCTCAAGGATCAGTGCTGGGATCAGTTCTATTTTTAATATACGTAAATGACATGTTTACAGGAGTAAAGTCCTATATGTCGGATGTTTGCGGATGACGCAAAATTAATGGGAAGAGTTGTGACATGATGATTGTAGGATCCTCCAAGAGGATTTGAACAGATTCCAAAGATGGTCAGAGAAATGGCTACTGGAGTTCAACACGAGCAAATGTAATGTTATGGAAATGGGACTAGGTGATAGGAGACCAAAGGGTTAGTACACAGTGAAGGGAAACTACCTACTTATGACGATTCGAGAGAGAGACCTAGACGTGGACGTAACACCTAATCTAACTCCCGAGTCTCACATAAATAGAATAAGAACAGCAGCGTACTCTACACTGGCAAAAGTTAGAACATTATTCAGAAACCTAAATAAGGAGGCATTTAGAGCGCTTTACACTACCTACCTACGTGAGACCAGTCTTAGAGTATGCCGCCCCATCATAAGAGTCCCACCTGTAGAAACACATAAGAAAACTGGAAAAGATTCAGAAGTTTGCGACGAGGCTCGTCCCAGAGTTACGAGGGATGGGGTATGAAGAGCGGCTGAAAGAACTGTACCTGACTACACTTGAAAAAAGAAGGGAGAGGAGGGATATGATAGGAACATATAAAGTACTCAGGGAGGAATTGACAGTGGATATAGACGAAATGTTCACACGTAATATTAACAGAACAAGAGGACATGGGTGGAAGCTGGAAACTCAGATGAGTCAGAGATGTTAAGAAGTTTTCTTCAAGCATGAGAGTAGTGGCAAAATGGAATGAAGTTAAACTGGGAGCCCCCATGGGAGTGAGTGACCACCGTGTTCTGATATTTGAGTGTCTAGTGGAGTTAGAGGTAATCTACCCAACAAAAGAACTATAAAACAAAGGGCAGGAGTACCGAAAGGGAACTTATCAGATGAGAACATTCCTAACTGGAGTACCACGGGAAACAGATCTCAAATTAAAGTCTGTACAAGATATGATCGATTATGTCACTTTAAACTGTCGGTAAAATCTTTTACTTTTTAACAAAAATAAACAAGTTTATCCCAGCCCTAAAGAATAAAAAAATGAGAAGCTAAAGATAAATCCATGGTTAATCGGGCATGTAAGGAAGCAAAACGGTTAAATACAAGAGCGTGGAGGAACTACAGAAATATCAGAACACGAGAGAACAGGGAGATACCAGAGGACCAGGAATGAGTACTTCATAGTGTAAAAGGAAGCAGAGGCAGAGTATGAAAGTGATAAAGCAAATATAACCAAGGCCGAACCAAAACTGCTTCACAGTCACATCAGGAGGAAAACAACAATGAAAGAACAGGTGATGAAACTGAGACCGAGTGAGAAGAGGTAAACAGGAGAATGATAATGAGGTGTGTGTGAAGAACTCAACAAGAGATTCCAGGAGGTCTTCACAATGCAACGAGGAGAGTTTTCTGAATAGAGACCCCTCTTGAGAGGTCAGCTTGTGGGTTATTCAATGGCAGGCTGAGGCAGGCTGTGGCAGGCTGTTGCAGGCTGTGGCAGGCTGAGGCAGGCTGTGGCAGGCTGTGGCAGGCAGGCTGACTGATCGTGCGTTTAAAGCCAACACCGTCACGAAAATACTAGTTGTTTTGGCCAGTTAAATCAATGCAATAAATCACTTTGACAGCAAAAGAGAAAACACTTTTGGAACGAAATTTTGTATTTTCCGTCTTATGTGCCGCCTGTTACCAGGACTGGCGCAGATGTTGACACAATTAACACGTACTTAGGCATACAGATGATGGCCCTCCAACACCTCCAGGTCAACCTCCAGGTCACCTGCCAACACTGCTCTATAGTCGTAATAGCTTGGCGCTTTCCCCCTGATAATTTCCTCCCTCCCTCTTCTTACCAATATAACCCCCGGGTTATTGGTAAGGACCATGGAGAATTATAATATTCCCCTACCGAGGGAAATATTATAGTTCCCCCATGTTTCTACCCTACTAAGAGGAACACTATAGTTCCCCCATGCTCCTGCTCTACTGTGGGAAAACACTATAGTTTTCCCAGTTCTTGCCCCATTGAGGAAGGAGTACTATAGTTTTCCCATGTTCTTGCTTTATTTCTGGACACCCCCTATAGCCTTCCCTGTTCCTGCTCTGAGTCAAGGACTTTACCATGGTTGTGAGTCCTTGTTGGAGTTATTCACAAACACCCTTTGTCCACTCCCGCCCCACAGGTAACGGCGCCCTCATCGTCATCTTCGTCAGGAACAAGAACTTGCGTAATGTGCCCAACACATACATCATCTCCCTGGCTCTAGGGGACCTGCTGGTCCTCTTCTTCACCGTGCCCTTCGTCTCCACCATCTACACCATCGAGTCCTGGCCCTACGGTACCTTCGAGTGCAAGTTTAGCGAGTTCGTGAGGGACATCTCTGTTGGGGTGACAGTGTTCACCCTGACGGCTCTTGCTGCTGATCGCTACCTGGCCATCGTCTCCCCAGTGAGGAAGGTATGGAGTGTTTGGTCTGGCTCTGGGTGTGGTACTTGGTCTGACTCTGGGTATGGTGCTTGGTCTAGCTCCGGGTGTGTTGGAATGTGGCTCTGGCTCTGGGTGTGGTCATGCTAACTGAAAGATACCTCTCGCTAATTGCTTCACCTGCTCCCTTTCCTCAGGCCGTGGGAGCAGCTCGAGGCGTGACGGTGCGCGCAGCTGTCAGCATCTGGCTGGTGGCTGTCCTCCTGGCGACACCTGCTGCAGTGCTCTCCCACGTCAGGGTCTTCGAGGTGTCGGAAAAGAAGTCCATCAGCGTGTGCTTCCCGTTCCCAGAGCACTTTCCCAATTGGTACGAGCAGGCCACCATCCTGACGAAGGCCTTAATCTACTATCTCCTTCCTCTCATCGTCATCGCCACCTTCTACCTCCTGATGGCGCGGCATCTCTTCGCCTCCAACGTCCCAGGAGAGTCTCATGTTTTTCACAGGCAGATACGCACCCGCAGGAAGGTTGCCAAGGTCGTCCTGTGCTTCGTGTTGATATTTGCCGTCTGTTTCCTGCCGACGCATGTCTTTCTCCTGTGGTTCTACTTCGACCCTCAAGCCTCAGTCAAATATAACGAATTCTGGAACGCTCTCCGGATCGTCGGCTTCTGTTTTAGCTTCATTAACTCGTGCATCAACCCAATCGCTCTATACTGCATCTCGGGCACCTTCAGGAAGCAATACAACCGGTACTTGTTCTGCTGCTGCTGGTGGACTGTCAGCCGGAGAAATATGGACTCGCTTCGCTCCATGCGGTCCAATGGTTCCAGGTATAGGTGCTCGACCCTTCGTGTCTCAGAAACTATAACAATGACCACCCTCATGCAGGAGAAGCCTTGCACGGCCGCCTCCTGACACACCAACGTTAGCCTTCCCCTGAACGACCTGCACGACCCCATCGCCTCCTCGAGGATGGGAGTCTCAACCATCCTGCCAGACAATCAAGACATGATTAATGGCATGACCATTTATGAGGTTGTTCAGATCTAATGCATTTTAATTTTTGATATTTACAATGTCGTTGGTGATAATATTACACTTAGACCTATGGAACACTAACTATCTTGGCCTGGTTCACTGAGCAGGCTTCGTATTTTTACAAACTCGAGTTCAATCCCCCGAAGATCACTGAACGATTTTCGGGGGATAATAAATGAAATTTTTTCATTATTGTCACAGTGAGACGAGGTTAACACAAGTTGTGAGCCATCAGAAATTATAACTACAAATATATGAATTTAATCTTTAATATTGAAACACGTGTTTCCATAGTGTGTTTATTATACTAGGTCTTCACAGCCAGTTTATCCAGACAACGTTTTTACGCTTAACTAAGATACGTCTTGGAAGACATCGCACACCTAAGATAAGCCTACAGTTCTCACAACTATCAACAAGATATATGAAGAGGTTTGGGAATCTCAATCAATGTCTGAGTGACTAAATGAGGCTTGGGGGCATCTTAGCTACTCTCCGAACGAGTAACGGTTTGGACCACTCTGCCAATCATTGAGCGACTAATAAGAGGTTTTGGTACCTTAGCCAATCGCGGAGCACCTCACAAACGTCTAGTCAGGGAGACGCCGTGACTGACAGCACCAGCTTCACTATGATCACAGGGCCAAATGTGATTAGTCAGTTACTGTATTAACCTGGTAGTGATCTTATGCTACATAATGAAACTGTTCTGAAGAGAAAAATAGTAGAATTAAAAACGAAATTTGTAACAAAGACACTAGAGAAGATTAGTCTGAAGGAGGGAGAAGGTGGAAGGAGAAGGTGGAGGGAGAAGGGGGGATGAGAGACCAGGAAACCCCATCTAGAATTAATGAAATTAAAAAATTTCATTTTATGAAATTTTTCATTTATATTTATTTTTTGTACTCAAAACATTTAAATTTATTATATATATATATATATATATATATATATATATATATATATATATATATATAATATATATAATATATATATATATATATATATATATATATATATATATATATATATATATATATATATATATATATATATATATATATATATATATATATATATATATATATATATATATATATATATATATATATATATATATATATATATATATATATATATATGTCTATGTCGTACCTTGTAGCCAGAACGCACTTCTCAGCCTACTATGCAAGGCCCGATTTGCCTAATAAGCCAAGTTTTCATGAAATAATTGTTTTTCGACTACCTAACCTAACTTTTTCGGCTACCTAACCCAACCTAACCTATAAAGATAGGTTAGGTTAGGTTAGGTAGGGTTGGTTAGGTTCGGTCATATATCTACGTTAATTTTAACTCCAATAAAAAAAAATTGACCTCATATATAATGAAATGGGTAGCTTTATCATTTCATAAGAAGAAAATTAGAGAAAATATATTAATTCAGGAAAACTTGGCTTATTAGGCAAATCGGGCCTTGCATAGTAGGCTTAGAACTGCGTTCTGGCTACTAGGCACGACATATATATATATATATATATATAAATATAATATAATATAATATAATATAATATAATATATTTAAAATTTCATTACATAAAAATGGGGTTACAATATAGGTTACATGCAAGGTACAAGGCTACTTGTCACGGGTTGTAGAGTTCCTCCAGCTCCTCAGATGGCGAGCAGGAACCATGAATGCAGTGAGCATTTCCTCTATGGATCGCCACACTAAGACGCAGAAAGACGAATCTGGCGGCTCTAGGGTCTCTATTTGTTTCAATTAGCTTACAACTCGGCTCCTTCAAGAAACTAGCAACACTTTTACCCCAGACACCAAGTGTGTCTGAGGCAATGGGGACAAAATTGTAGTGGTGATTAAGATCTCTATACGACAATTGGCTGCTTCCCGGTGATTGGCAGCACCACCTGGTTGTGCAACACTGAAGTCAACAAAGTTGTTGGCTAAAGTTGAAACGCAAGTGTAGTCCCACACAAACTGTAACATTCTTCCAGGGGTTCACCGTGATCCCGTCAGAGCGACCAACAGGCTCGTCTGAGTTGCGGGGCATTAGGTAACGGTGTTCTCTCTGCTGGACAACCAGCTATGGTGAGCCTCCTCTTAATAATGTCCTTGGTTGTCAATACTGTCCAATACTCAATATAGAAAACATTTGTATTTTAGCAAGTACCAAGTTTATAGCACATTACAACAGCAAACTTATAGCACTGAATGTTTCTCTTGATAACTTTTTGGATAGGCCTATGTACTAGTTCAGAGCCTCTTGTTATATCCAGAGCGTTCTGAGAAAATGTATACGCAGATTTGCATTCGGAGTCTACAATGTGTCTACTCTCTACTTGTGTCCCTAATATCAATGTATATTGTCCAGATAATCAAACTGTTGTTGTAGATGATTGTCTTGGTGGATGTACATATTTATGGTTTGCGGTGAAGTGATGGGCCGCACCACCTGGCGGGCCGCACCACCTGGCGGGCCGCACCACCTGGCGGGCTACACCTTACCCCATTGTTCAAGGGAACACTGCCCTCCCTTCCCTATTCAGTGTTCCACGTCCCGTCCCAATTCCAACAAGTTATCTGCCTTTCCTCCCCCCCCCCCCCGCCCTCTCCAGTTCCTCTTGTATCCCCCACCTATTACACTCCTCGCCTCTCACGCTAGCGATAACGAGGTGGTTGATGCCCTCATCGACGAGGCCAGGAGACAGTCTAACAAGCAACAGGAATATATCCCAGCCAAGTGTTTATACTGGGATATCCCAGCCAAGTGAGTATTTCAAAGCGTGAATATCAGGTGTTTAGACCGTAGCAGGTTCACACTACAAGGTGACGGGCTTCAGTGTGAGAAACTGTGACGTCACTCCGGCCGTTCCGTCTTGACTGAAGAATAATAAGAGTGAGCAAGAGTGTTGGGACACCAGTGTGGGGGGGAGCAGGACTTGATGCCAAGTGGGTCTCGTCTCAGTCAGGCGGTGATGGCGTCGGTGGTGTCCAGGGTCAGACAGGAATCGTTCACGTGGCAAGTCTCTGTCATGCCCACAGCCCGTCCTCATAAACAAAGACCCAAAGTCCATTCCATGCACCCGCCAAACCCCCTGTTTATGAATGAAAAACGGCTTACACACGACTCGCCTGATGACGTCCGAACACTTCCGGAACAAGTGCTTCGCTGACGACTTTGTTCGAACAACAACAACGCTGTAAATGCTTCACCCACGTAGCATTTAAGGATGGTGGACTTGGTTTGAGGACGGGTTGCATGACGCAGTGGTGACTTCCACTCGCCTCATTCATCTGACCAGGAATTACACCATATCATCTACCACGATAATATTAAATTATGTGTATGTAATCTAAATGACAGTGTTGTAAAGTGAGATATTAAATGTGCTCACCTTTGGGTGTTATTAGAAGTGCGTCATAACCGCTACAGTACATGTAGATGAAAGAGCTCAAACATTAAAGACTGAACGGATGACTTCCTAAAAACTGGAGGTTGTTAATCCTGGCCGTTCAACTCCACGAGGACAACTTGTATTTCACAATACAGGGGATGACGAGCATCACACATCACACAGCTCCAGTACTCAGTATGGACTCCCTCCTTCCTGCCCGTCCAGAGACGCTTCGCCTGAACGGTTCTATTATGTCTTATCAACAATTGGAAGGAGAAATTGAGTTGTGTAATTGATAATTAAGTTCAGTCTTTGCAAAACACGTTTATGCTTATTCTAGTTCACAGACTGTTGTTTTAAAGGTTATATATTAAGACTTTGTAGGTGAATATAATTTTGGTGACGTCGCATTGTAACTCATTTTCTAGTTTCTAGCCCCAATGCCCCATACATAATTTTCTTAGCACGGTTAACCAAGGTATTTGATAATAATTATATTTAATAATTATTTAACATAAAATAGCAACTCGTTTCTTGCATATTATGTTAATGGTAAATAAATTATTTCGGAAATTTCCGACAACCAGGGCTTGATATGATAGTGATACAGTGATATGATAATGTGTGTTTATTGACGCCTTTTCTGTGAAGGCTGCTTGGCGGCTCTACTCTATCCTCCCAGAGAACTCTATTGGAGCCTCGTGAGGCTCTATTGCAGTCCTATATAGCCCTACTGGTTCTTCCTAGCGAGCCCTACTGGAGCCTCGTAGAGAGCCCTACTGGAGCCTCGTAGAGAGCCCTACTGGAGCCTCGTAGAGAGCCCTACTGGAGCCTCGTAGAGAGCCCTACTGGAGCCTCGTAGAGAGCCCTACTGGAGCCTCGTAGAGAGCCCTACTGGAGCCTCGTAGAGAGCCCTACTGGAGCCTCGTAGAGAGCCCTACTGGAGCCTCGTAGAGAGCCCTACTGGAGCCTCGTAGAGAGCCCTACTGGAGCCTCGTAGAGAACCCTACTGGAGCCTCGTAGAGAGCCCTACTGGAGCCTCGTAGAAGGCCCTACAGGAGCCTCGTAGAGAGCCCTACTGGAGCCTCGTAGAGAGCCCTATTGGAGCCTCGTAGAGAGCCCTACTGGAGCCTCGTAGAGAGCCCTACTGGAGCCTCGTAGAGAGCCCTACTGGAGCCTCGTAGAGTCCTACTGGAGCCTCGTAGAGAGCCCTACTGGAGCCTCGTAGAGAATCCTACTGGAGCCTCGTAGAGAGCACTTCAGAACTGGGGGAGGGGGTGGGAGGCTCCTTTCATCAGGCTTTATTATAATATATAAATGAAGTTCCTGTCAGATATTATATACTCATATTGGTTGTGTCCGAACGCAGGTGTCATAATGCTGGATATGTCCGGATACCGGCTTTGATACTGGAAAGCCAGCCACTAGAACACATTGAGTTCATTTACTGTCTCGCTAAAACACTGCTTGTGCTCTGTCAGAATTAATATCTTATTTGTGTGTTTTGTGTATCATTTTATTTAATTAAATATTTATCTCCTGAAGGAAAAGTTTTATGAAGTTTTCCTTGAACATTTTTCCTCTGTGTAAATACTGTTGAACAAACAAGGTTCATGTACCACAGTTCTTATTGATCAATATAGCCTTGAAGCGCACTTCTGAGAGAGAAGCATCACTCTTGTTTAAACACTGTGCTGAACCTACCGTGTACAGTGTTGGCACGGGTGTTAAACACTGTGCTGAACCTACCGTGTACAGTGTTGGCACGGGTGTTGAACACTGTGCTGAACCTACCGTGTACGCACTTCTGAGAGAGAAGCATCACTCTTGTTTAAACACTGTGCTGAACCTACCGTGTACAGTGTTGGCACGGGTGTTGAACACTGTGCTGAACCTACCGTGTACAGTGCTGGCACGGGTGTTGAACACTGTGCTGAACCTACCGTGTACAGTGCTGGCATGAGTGCCAATCTTACAGAACCAACTATTGACCTTCTGACAGACCTCACATGACAATAGACGTGTTACCTGCCGTCCACCACCAGTCGTGAACAGTAAACTTCGTATTTCCATGCACAAACTCATACGCTTTCCCCTACAACCACGCCCAACCACTAGAGGTAGACGGTAGAGCATTTGTAGTCCCCTACAAATACTTGAAAGCCTTTGTCAATAGATGTATGATGAAACACAACAAAAAACAATATCCGTGTAAATTACTTTCAGTGTCAGACGGCGGTAAATATAGTGTGGTGAGTCACCGCATTTACTCTACGCCGGTTGGGTTCAGACGAAGCAGGTAAATATGCCCCAGACTTAACTAAGCGCAGGTCCCACGCAGGTCACAGCGCAGGTCACACGCAGGTCACAAATAATGAACGAGTTAAATTATATCAGATGTCTTTGTAATATGAAGGAAAA